TTCCCGGGGCGCGGAGCTGGGCGGGCGGCAGGGTTTTCCCGGAATGCGGCTCGCGCCTCGTGCGCCCCTGGAGGCCCCGGGGTTCGCCAAGCCGAAGGGAACCCCTCACGGAGGGAGACGCTTGAAGATCGTGCAGGGCCCTTTCCCATTCGCCTGTGTCCACATTTGGGTCGGAGCCGGGTATCAGCACTGGGGCGCAGACTGCATCCCGCCCCCGGGCTCAGCTGCTACAGGCAGGAGGAAACTGATGCCAGAGAGGCGCAGCAAGTCTCTTAAGATCACACAGCGAGCGGACGCTTGGCCCCCTCCGCAAGGCTGTGCGCTCCGCCTTGCGCTTGACTCCCCTCTGCCTGCCACATCGTTGTTCCTTGACGCGGTGAAAGCGGGCTTGCGAGTATCCGGGACAGCCACAGTTGAGGATGTGTGGGAGGAGGAGGGGGTGGCATTCCAGTGGGCGAGGCTTGTACTGTATTTTCCCTGTTTCTGATTGCAGCAGTAACTTGGGCTTATCCAGGTAGTAAGATAAAATTCAAAAATAAGGAAAGCAGAAATGGAAAATTCCCTGGAAACCCACTCTCCAAAAATAACTGAGTTGCTAGTTCCAGGTCTCCCTTCGGATTTTTTTCAGAAAGAAGGGCTGGATCAGGCTCCATTCTGCTGCAGGGGTGTACCACGTCTATTTTGTTTTTTAGCAGGTCCTTCGGGTTATTTCCAAATTTTAGATATCAAAATAGGAACAGGTTTTAAAAAGTTGTTATAATTCCCTTTTATTACCATTGAAATATAGCCATATTAGAACAGAGAAAACAGAGACATGGGAAAGGCACACCCACTGGCAGCAGCCTCTCCCTGCTGGCATGTTAGTGCTTTTCCTTCCTGTCTTTCCCCCATGTGTCTGTTTTTACATATTTGCCCATTGACTGTGTATCTGACACTTCACACTGTATTTAAAGCATTTCCCTGCCACGAGGGCCTCGGCTTTGGACCCAGGCACACCTAGTAAATAGTGACTCTTGCTAGAATGTTGCATAGTCCTCATGGCCATGTTTTGAAAACTGAGATATGACACATCGAAAGGAAGCTGGGCTGTACGAGGCCTTCCCAGGACAGATCCCCTCCCACCCCTATGTCCTCCTCCTGTCTCTGGTCTGTAGAAAAACTGAAGCCAAAGAATACATGTAATCAGAGAAATGGAAAAAATGCAGAAGCAAAGAAAAGCAAACAGGACGAAACAATAATAGTTCAGTCATTACACAAAGCCGAGGACCCGCAGGTCCTCCTCAAAGGCAGTCGGTAACATTCTGAGCCATAGCCTTTCAGCTGTTTTACAGATACTGAAGCCCTCACCAGGTGGAAGAGTTAACTACATGGCGACCAGACTGTCGCCGTGACATAAGCTGCTCCATCTTGCACAATTCCAAGACCTGGCCTCCAAGGAAATGGGAAAAACCTGACCCTGACGCTGAAGATTAAGTCTACTTAAAACCATCAAGATGATGCCAGTCAAGCCAATTTCAAGACGACTGTCAGATCTTACTGTGCTGTTCTGCAGATAGCCCCCTCTTTCCCCCTGTGCACCCCCGAAATTCCCCTTTTAAAGCTCTTGCCCCGATTGGCAAAGGGGAAGTTGGCTTTTGGACACGAGTCCACCTTCTCCCTTGGTTGCTGGCCTCCTGAACAAAGCACTCTTTCATTTCCTACCAGCACTTGTCTCTCGAGTACTGGCTTTTGAGCAGCAAGCAGCCTAACCTGGATTCCATAACAGCATCTTAAAGGTACAGCTCAATGAATAAGCCTCGGTGTGCACCCTTGGAATCAGGCTCAGACTAAGAAAGAAGCTTCTAATTACCCTAGCAAGTCCCAGGTAACCCTTCCCAGTCAGACCCGCCCTCCCGAGGCCTCATGACCCTGACTTCTTTTACTGTGGACTTGTTCATCTTGCTCTTGGACCTCTTGCGTGGACACTGCTCTTGTTTCTGGCTCTTTTTCCAATTTTTTTTCTTTCAAAGTCAGCTTTATTCAGGTGCAATCTGTGTACAGTAAAACGAACCCATCTCAAGCGTGTAGATTTATGAGCGTTGACGACTGTATCACCCAGCCGCCCGCCAGTCAGGACGCAGCACATTCCCATCCTCCAGCCGGTGCCCCCTCCCCACCCCCAGAAGCTACTCACTGTCGTCTGTGGTCGTAGAATAGATGTAGCTTTTCTCGAGTTTCACAGAAAGAGAACCTTACATTAAACGCTGGTTTTTCCAGCTTCGTCCATTCAGCGTGTCTGTGAGATTCGTCTGTGCTGTGTTGCCAGGGGTTTGTTCTCTTTTTGTTGCTGTGCACGAGCTCCATCCTTTGATGGGCATCTGGGTTTCATGGGGCTCAGGGCAAGCCACCCCTAAATATTCCAAAGTGGCATATTGATTATTTTGAATTAAAGTTACTTGAGAAACAATGGATGCAGAAAGGACATGCCGACCCTCCTCTCTGGCCCCCTGAAAGCAGGAAGTAAATTTCCCGTGTGGAAGACACCTTCCCCGCACCAGGAGGCAGAGAGACATCATCGCCAGAGACGGAGAATTCAGGGCAAGAGGCTGTGTAACACTCTGTTAAGTTCCTTCACTGATTAGTACTCAAGCCTGAAGTTTCTTTGTCTTGTCAGTTCTTCATAATTTTTTTTTTTTGCCTAAAAAGTAGAAAAGCTGCCTGCTTTGGTCATTTCTTTGGGTCCTGTAAGACCTCCTTATATATGAAATTTAAGTTGTTTTTTCCCTCCTGTTAATCTGTCTTGTGTCAATTAAATGACTAGACGAGCCGAAAGAAACCAGGAAGGGGTAAGGGGAAATTTCCTTCTCCTGGGCAGGTTATTTTAAGTTTGGGGGCTAAAAAAATTAAGCTGTGTGACTCTCCTCATAACTAACCCTGTCTTAACTTTTTAAGCTTCTTGAGTGGACGAACCTGGACTTGCTTATGAATCTGCTGTCATGAGCATTAAGGTTATTTCAAACGTTCTTGCTTTTAAAATTAGCAACGTGATGGCTACCTTTGCCCTTAAAAGGTAACTTCCTTCAGGACACTTCTGTGGTCCTCAGGCCCTTAACCCTCCCATCTTCTCTCCTGCCCACTCTCACCTGGGTCTGCCCTGCTGGGGAGCCTGGCCTCTGGGGGTGACGTGCAACTATCCCCCTCTTCCACCCTGCCGGTGCCTGGCACAGCATGGGCACACAGCCGGGGCCAGGAAGCCCCTTTCCGACTTGAATTTAGAACCTGCCCCTCGTCCTTAGCCTCCCCCAGCCCCCATGTAGGGAGTCTCAGCTTAGGGGTAGCAGAAAGCACTGGCCTGGGACTGGGGGCAGCTGGCTCTGCTGGGCCTGGGAAAACGGCTTTTCCCACCCTGGACACACCCACTCGGAGGCTCCGCCCCCAGCTCCAGCCCCTCCCTGGGGGAGGCCCCCTGAGAAGTGGTTCTTTAGAGGAAGGGCCCCTTGTGAATCCACTCAGGCTGCTGCTCACCGGTGCCTGCCCCTGGGGAACGTGGCAGCTCCGGGGCAGGCCTCTCCTAGGACTTGGGAGCCCCCACGGCTGGAAGGTAAACGTCCTGCAGAACTGCCAGGGTTGGGGAGGGGCCGGGCAGAGACAACTTCGTTCCCTGGACCTCGCTGGCTGACTGAGGGCACCAGAACTTAACAAGTCCAAACTATCCCTGTACAGAAGAGGAGCCTGAGGACAGGGCCTTGGGCTGCCATGACCCCCTCCTCCCAACCCTGAGGCTTCTCAAGAGGCCTGCTCCAAGGAGCCACTTCCTTTATGGAGCCTCACTTTCCCCATCCATAAGATGGGTGTGACCTGGTGCCCACTTCCTTTGCTGCCATGTCAGCAGAGAGAGGCTGGTGCCTTTGATACAGTTCCTCCTGCAGTTTGACAAAGGTCCCTCCAGACAGATCTGCTGGCTTCCCGCTGCCCAGGAAACTGGCCGAGCTGCATTCCGGCCTCCCTGGCCCAGGGCAAAAGGCCTCCGAGGAAGTCAGTGGGGCTGAACTTGACTGCCCAGCCTCCCATCAAATCCAGGGAGAAGGTGAGGAGTTGGAGGGAATGCCGGTAGCCCAGGGGCTGTCTCGTTCGGTCCTCATCCTCCCATGGTGGTCTCAGCATCCCCATTTTACAGAGGAAACAACTGAGGCTCAGAGAGTCACTGCCCAGGGTCACCTCTTGGCCTCTCACTCCTGCTATGTTGGGGTTCCTGAGGGAGGGGGATGGGAGGGACAGGCAGAGGATGGGTGGTCGGCCCCTTCCCAGAGGCAGTCCTGTCCCTCGCCTCCTTCTCACAGATGGGCCGGCCAGGGCCCCCTGGGGAGAAGGTCTCTGACACCCAGCTGTCCGGCGCTCCTGCCGTCCCTAACCGTGCCCCGGCCGATGGCATCCCTGGCCCCGAGGACTCGGACCTGGTGCCCTCCCTGACCTTGGCTGCAGCCCTGGTCCTGCTGTTCCTCCTGCTCTCAGCGTGGCTGGTGCGGGACAGGCCCCTCCAAGGCTCCTGCTAAGGAGGTTCTTGAGCAGGGAGTGGGGGGGTCCCGGGGCTGGGCGTG